GAGGATCCGGACGAGGACCCGGAGCCAGCAATACCGGCCTCACTTCCGGAACCAGACCCACAGCCACCATTCCGGCAGGAACCCGAGGCCCCTCGCCACGAGGAACCAGCCCTTCCTTCCACAGCAGACCCCTCACCGGGCCCGGCCCACTCAACTCCAAGGGCCCCCGAGACCGAACCAATCGCCACCCCGGAACCTCGCCGCTCGACTCGCCCCAGGAAGCCACCAGCGCACCTGAAGGACTTCGTCTGTGGGTGCATTGCGAACCAAGGGGGGAGGGGTGTAATGTATTCAGCCTGACATGCCCGGACTTGCCCGGGCTGGCCAGGCACAATTCCTATGTTAGCTTCAGTCGAAAGACAAAGGATCCGGAGGATCCAAGCCGGCCCTATCAAAAGGGCTAGCTTCCCAGCCGGGAGACCAATGGTCGCCCGGTTACTGTAAATAGCCTATCGGGAGTAGGGGGTGTGTTTAGGTATGCTTGGTGGCGGGTTTTCTGAACATATATAAACCGGCCTGCGAGCCGGTCAGTTGTCTTTGTCCTGAACTAAATAAAGGTATGCTTAGCTGAAATCACTCTCCGTCTGCATACTTTTCACAGGATGAGGTCACTCAGCAGCGAAGAGGAATCCTCCGGGGTGGGGTGCCAACACTCTTTAAAAAAAACTTCTGGGATTGAAACCCAGGCCTGTAGGCATGGGAGGCCACAAGTGCCCTCCCCAAACAACCATGCTCACCTCCTCCTTTTCCACTTCCTCCCCCAACACAGTTCAGCAAGTAAGGGGGGGGGGAAGGGTTGGGTCAGGGAGGGGTGCACGCGAGAGAGGCTTGCTCAGCCAGCCAGGCGGACCGGCTGCTTGCTGCTTCTGAAGTCAAGCTGGCTTCAGTCAGGCAACTGCCCATTCCTCTTCAATCCGGGAAAGTGATACAGCAAGGGAAAGGAGGCTAAGAAGGGGAGGGCTGGCTGGTGCAGGACGCAGCAAGGCAAGGCAACCGTCCAGGCAGCTGCTGTTTGGAGAGGTGTGATAGATGTTTGACAGGGCGCTGACCCCATCCTTCTAAGCTGCACAATACCATCTCACCTTAATTCTGTTCTGGAGACTCTGATTCCAGTCATTTTGTATTTTTTAAATTAGTTCCAGGTCAGAGAGTATAATTTGAGTTTGGACTCTGCCATTAGCTTTTGTACACCATCACTGCATTCATGGTATGCATTTTCCCCCTTTAGAATGGCCTTTGGTATTTTATCTGTTCTTTGGTGTCCTCTCCTTGCATGTTTTCTTCTCTGTCTGTCTCCCCATTGCTCAGTTACGGCTGACCTGCATTCCCTTTTTCTTCTGCACTGCATTTCTGATGTATTTTTAAAAGCCCATTCATGCCTACTGTCATTCAGTTGCATTCCATTCTGGACGGGCTAAATATGACTTTCAATGACTATTCAGTTTTTTGTCATTGGATTGAAAGTGTCCAAGCAGGAAAAAAAAATGATGATGTTAAAAACATATGACTGCGCACTCACGGCCATCAGGCCTCCCCTATCATGACAAAGAAAGGAAAGCAGTTGAAGCTCCCATCACCATGATCAGACAGACAGAAAACAGGGCAAACTTCTTTTCCCTCAAACTTGGGGGGGGAGGGGGGAGGGTAGAGGCAGAGGGCAGAAATCACAGGCTTCCAAAATCACTGTATGTTGCCAACTGATTGCATGTCTCAAGCCATGAAAATGCAGCCACAATCCTAACCGGAGCCCCTAGATCTGGGGCCAGGACCCAACAAAGTGCTAACTGCAGCCTCACTGAGGAAATGCCTATTGTTCCTGACCATGGAAGGCGGCACGGAGCCGCAATGTTTTTCCTTGGAGCACCCAATCATTTAAAACTGCATAACAGTGGCAAAGGGACAGCTCTTGGGGCTGCAGCAGAGGGCTTTACCCTTTCAAAAGCAAAGGCGGAAGGCGCGAGGGAGGGGGAGATCAAGGGCCTGGCTTGCTCTCCTCTTGCATGCTCCCTTTCGTTCTTGCCCAGCCTCCAAGTTTTACTTGCAGCCAGCCATGGCGGTGGGAACTGAAGCTGGAAAAACCTCCTAGACACAGAGCAAGACTGGGAAATTGGGGGGGGGGAGGCAAGACATGATTGGGATTGAGTAGCTGTGACATGAAGCAATTGCACCGCAGTGGGCCCACTTGCCAGAGTCCATGGGGAAGCCTGCCTCACACATGCACACAAGCCTGCGCAATGCAGGGAAAGGCGCCGAGAGGAGAGTGGAGCACGGGGCTGCTGCTTACAACCTGCGCTGCCTGCTTGGGTGAAAGAAGAGTGAGGCATGCGTGTGCACGCACACACACACACAGAGAGCGAGTGGAGGTAGAGCCGCATGCGCCAGCCACGAGAGAGCATGTGCTTGCTCTCTTTCTCACTCTTTTTTTGCTAGCTCTCTCTCTCTCACGCAGACACATCCCAGAAAAAGCTGAGGATGGGGCAGGCAGGCCTTTCCCGGGGCACCACGCCTCTGTGCAGCCCGGGAAAGCCAAGGAGCATTTGGACAGGCAGGCAACTTACCTTCCTTCTTCTGCCGCCTCATGGCCTGACTGAGGGCTGCTGGGAGCAGAGGGCAGAGCTTGGTCATGTGCCCGCCCCCTTGACTCCTTACTACCGGAGCGCCACTCCTCTGAGCTCCGGGGCCAACCGACCCCTGGTTACATTACAATAATCTCCAGGGAGGAGATTCGATTGGTTCTACCTGGGAAATTGGATAAAATTGGAGTAATATAAATGTTTCAGATATTCTGGTAAAACCGACAGTATAATAAAACATGCTCAATTGTTTCTACCATATCTGAGAGGCATGGGCAGAGATGTTTCTCATGCAGAATTCAAGCAAATCTCCTTTCAAGAAGGGCAGGTGAAAGGACAATCAACTGGGCAAGGGTAAAGGCTCTGTGATGTTTGTTGTTGTTCAGTCGCACAGTCGAGTCCGACTCTTCGCGACCCCATGGATCATCTCCCGCCAGGCCCTCCTGTCTTCCGCCGTCCTCTGAAGTTGGCTGTGATGTTTAGGGTATTCCATATGTATCTGTGCACTGATAAAACACTACAATGAGCTCTCTTGCTGTAATTGTATGATTCCATCAAGTTTCTTTTTGTGGTGTTTTACTAATGCACAGATTTGCTCCTCCATGTTGGTAGAACAGCACACAAAACAACCTCAACATCACATCAAGATTGTGGGGGGGGGGGGTTTTACACCATTTTACCAATGAGCATGCAGATCAGCTACACAGAGGAGAGGAAATATACATAGAGGAACTAAAAACTGTGGCAAATCGCACAAGCAACATGTTCTCTAAAAACATAAAAAGCTAAAATGGAATTATGTAATACTTTTTTCCCTCCTAATGAACAAGACTAGAGAAATTGGAAATCCAAAGTTGAGAAAAAAGACTGAAAAATTTGGAAGCATCTCTAACGGTGGTTCACCTGAGTCTAGGGTTGCCAATTACAGGTTGTAAAATTCCTGGAGATTTGGGGGGGGGTTGCCTGGGAAGGGACTTCAACAAGGTATAGCGACACGGAGCCCACCCTCCAAAGCAGCCATTTTTCTCCAGGGGAACTCATCTCTGCCACCTAGAGATCAGTTGTGATTCCGAGAGACCTCCAGGTCACACCTGGAGATAGGCAGCCTTACCTGAGTCCCTGTAAACCGGTTAGAAAGGTTTATTAGTCTCATACTTTTTTGTTGTTGTTCTTAATTTCTTTTTAGATTATATCCCTCTCAGCAGTATAATAATTTAGGTCAGGAATTACTGCTAGTCTTGTTCTGTTGTTTATAATTATTGTTCCCTGCCTTGAAAATCCTGTATTGAAAAACAGGTTACACATTTGCAAAATATATAAATAGAAAACAATGTCCTGTAATGGTGTCTAGATGGTGGCAGCCAAGAGTGCTTTGTGTGTTTCCAGTACATTCTCAGTGAGAATCTTCTTTTTGAGCTAAAATAAAAGGAGTGATGAGGGAGAGCCTACACAGCTGAAGATCTGTGATTTCCCCCCATTCTCTTAGGATTTTTGTCTTTAAAATGTAGAATGATAAACAACAGATGGAGGGGCATTCAGCTAAGGAGAGACAAATGTGTCATGATAACAAATGATTGTTCACTGGAATTCAACCGATTTTGGCTCTAATATTGCAGATTGAGGGCCTTTGGTGGATGAAATGCAACAGGCTGTGCTGAAGAAGATGCCTGCAATGTTCAGCGGCACAACTATGGGCCTTCTGAAGTCCCAGAACTTTCTGGAAACAGAGGACAATGGATATGTTCCTGATTATGACTGTGGAAGAAAATGTTTTTGAGAGAGTGAAAGTTCTAAGATAATGAGATGAACCGATGGGAGGACATAGCAAGAGGTTTCAAGGCCATTCCAAAGGTGTGAAACAGCCCCATTTCTCAGTAGGGGCATGGCCAAACCTTTCTTCAGACCACAGAAGTTTCTTCGTAGGACCCAGTGTCTGCTTTTTTTCCTCACAGTGGCTTACCTGATGGCTGGCAGCCTTTTGCTACTGCAGCGCTCTCGCTTGGTGCTCCAACAAAGTTCTCGTGTGACTTCTGGAAACCAGCCCCTGCCTGTATCAGATGTCATGCTCAGTGCTGGGAACACAGACAGCAGACCACCACAACAGACTCATTTAAGCCTCCTGGTGAACATGGAGCAGCTCCAAGGGCCAACACCAGACCATAAGTACGGTCCACGGTGGTTGATGTCTCGCAATTCTGAACTGAGACAGTTACGAAGGAGGTGGTTTCTCAGGTTCATAAATGAACAAGAGCCGATGCAGGCTACAGGAGTGAAAGTAGGGAAACCAGCGTCTGAAAGCAGAGGTAAGGGGGTTTTTCTGAGTTTCCAGTGGGAGGAGGGAAAATGGAGCACAAATGATCAAATGGGGGGCAAATGTGCTTTAGGGACCTTCTCTGGGTTTCCCCCAATTTCAGAAACCACGTGGAGAGATATTCTTTTTTGGTGATGATTCCTCATTTATGGGAATCTCCCCCAGATGTATATGGATATCACTTCTTTTATGTGCCATGTTAAAACTTGTTAAAATAATTGGATTATTTCACTACTCCTGACTTTACATTATTTAATCAATAGTTGCTTGAGCTGTTCTCTTGCTTGTGTGCTACTCTGTTTTATAATTTTATAACTGAAAGGACATCAAAGTGTGAGGTCATGTGAGCTAAGTTGGAAAGCTGGGTTATGATCATAAGAATTGACTTGGCTTTTGTGCAGAACCAAAACCAGTGGGGAGGTATATTTTGCAAACATTTTGTAGCATAAATCCTCCTTTTCAGCAGTCATTTAAATCAGTTATTGCAAATGGGTTACTGAAAGATCAGCTATGAAAGCAATATTAAGTGTCGTGGCAACAGCCAAATTTAAGATTGGGGGAAAATCCAAACCGGTAATAAATCAACTGTTTCCAGTAGTTGCATGTTCACACAAACTAAACAAATTGTGAAATTATCTTCTTATATCAGAAAATTAAATAACTTTATAGAGAATATGTCGATTTCCATAGGGTTGGATCCAAAGTTTTGTGAAATAAACTCTGGTTGTGTTATAAAAATTTTCCGCTCCCCTTCCTCTTCAGTGCACTGGGCCTCCCTAAAATCTCCAGAACCCCCCCCCCCAGGGAATAGTCCTAGGTGCGAGTGTGTGGGCCTACAGTAAGAAACGGTATTGCTCTCCTTCCAGAGGACAGTTTAAACTGGCAGAAAACTAGTATTGGAGAACTATAAGGCTTTGTGTCATAATCATTTCTGTCTTTTAAAAATATTATATATTTGTGTAGCAGCAATAGTGATTATGATGATGATGATAATAACCAGCTTTAGAAGACAGGCCCAAAGATTTCACACTTATTGTCTATGGATGACTTGAAAATGTATAGAGAGTCATCATCAGAGACTGATTCTTTACTAAATACAGTGTGAATATTCAGCAAAAATATAGCAATGGACAAATGTGCAGCATTAGCGTTGAATAGAGGAAAGCCATCAAAACACTTGGTGTTGAAGAAAACTACAAATAACTTGGAACACAGAAGCAGTCCCAGTTCTAAGATTAATAAAGACAATGCATCACCCCCTACACCCTAGAAGAGATGTTGGTTGTCTTTACTTACCAAGAAAATTAGGTGGAAGAGGTCTCCTGAAAGTTAAACAACAAGTTAAAGAAGAAAAACAAGCACTGGATGACTACACTAAGAAAAACAAAAATAAGCTTCTAGTTGAAGTATACTAGGCAGACTTATTTCACATTACAAAACCAAATGAGATCACAAAAAGATAGCAATCAAAACTCACTTTGACAACTGGAAGGAAAAGCACTCGTGTGGGCAATATTTTAAAGATATAGCTAATAAATTTGCTAACAAAAGCACCTGGAAGTGGCTCCAAAATGGGTACTTGAAGAAAGAAACGGAAGGACTCATTCTAGCTGCACAAGTGCAGACACTGGAAATGAAAAGTATGAAACCCAAGATTCAGAAGACCAGTGATGACAGCAAATGTCAAGGTTGCAAGACAAAGGATAGAGCAGTTGACCACATGGTCAGTGCTTGCAGTAAAAATGACTATAAAGAATGTCACGATAGTGCAGTCAAGATTTTATAAGTGGACAGAAGAGTACAATATATAAAATTTTCGGACATCTAACTGAAACAAAAGGAAATTAAAGCTATATTCTTAATTATAAGCAAAAGGTATATAAGTAAACTATAAAAAGTAAAAAAAGTAATGAATTTATTCAGATACTGTATGGCCGAGTTCAGACTGGCAGTTTGAAGCGGGAGGGAGTTGTTGCAGAAAAGAGCCGGAACCAATTGTTCCAGGTTTTCCTGGTTACACTGCGCGGACTGATGTGGGAGCATACTGGGAGGAGGCTTGAGGGAGTGTTCACACTGTTGGCCCGGAGGTGCAGCTGTAAGTGCCTTTTTCCTCGCAGCAGACGCCTAGGCGCATGGGTGCCTAGGTGCAGCGGCTAATAGGACAGGATCCGGCCGCTGTGGGCCATAGGCACATCTGGCCACAACACTACCCCCTCTTCAAGGCAATCACCTGCACCTTCCTGGTGCCAGAATGAAGCTAGGAGGTTAGGCAGCGTAAACAGCCGGCACACATTATTAATGCAGGCTGTTCCCGGCTTTTAGCAGTTAACGTTCACACTTCTGGGAAGTGGAATGAAGTGGATAAATGGGCTCTCCAGGGTTTGCTACCACTTTCACCAGGTATCTTTTAAACCAGGGAGGCAAGCGCTACAAGATGGGTTGAGTACGGGTGGGGAACGCTGGACAGATTTGCCTGTGTGAACGGCCCCTTTAATCCACTTGTGAAACGTTCCTCACACGCGCCTATATCGGGGCAAACTGCCAGTCTGAACTCAGCCTATGAGGTCATTAACCAGATCAAAATGATGTAAAGAGAATTTCCCATATGTGTATTTTTGTATGTTTGTTTTTGTTTTCTGGTATATAAAAAATAAAAATTAGTTAAAAAAAGAGAAAAGAATGTCACAATAGTGCTGAAGGTATGTTCAGTGGAAGCTTTGCAACAAATATGGCTTCCCATCAGCCAGAAATTCATGGGAACATAAGCCAGACAACATCATGGAGAATGATGGAACAAAGGTTCTTTGGGACTTCTGATTACAAACAGATAAACACCTGGCGCATAGCACCTTTGATATCATAATTGTAGAAAAAATGAGAAATAGGGTTTGGATCATTTACACTGCAATCCCAGGAGAAAGCAGAATAGAAGACTAAGGAGACGAATACAAAATATTAAGACCTACAAACAGAGTTAGAGTGCCTCTGGGAGAAGAAGGTGACCATGGTGCCAGTTGTCACGGGAGCCCTTGAAGTTTCAAGGAACACCTGGACATTCTGGGCACTGAGCAAATAACACCCGCTCAGCTCCAGAAGACAGCGTTGCCTGGAAATGCAAGAATCCTGCGATGATATCTCTGCAGTTCTCAAGAACTTGGCTACATCTCAAATTGCAGAACACCATCTACATGTCAGAAATATGACTCTTACAATTAATAATGATGATGGCAACAACAATAATAATAAAACATTCAACAACAACAATAACGTTTTATTTAAAAATATTCACAGTGCCATAAAATATCCATACTGCCTGAACATTCAATTAAAACATTCAGAAGAAAATATTACAATTAACCAAATTTAACATAATCCTAGCTCAAGATTTTTAAAACAATGTTAATCTGTAGCAACAATGGAAATAATTTAAAATATCAACAGACATAAACTATTTTAAATAAGAAGCTGAGAGACCTTGACAAGCAAAAATAAAACCATCAGCAAAATAGCTATGAATGATCAAAGCACTGCAAAACTATGCAATATAAAATATAATGTAATAGATAACCAGCAATAAAACAAGATGAGGTCCTAAAATAACAGCATCATATCTTTAAAAACAGTCAGTTGACATCCTCCATAAATTTCTTCTCTGTCAAACAAAGCATTGGCAGACACAGAGGGGTAGCGGTATGGCAATCGTATTACATACAGAAATACTGCAACAGTGCAACCAATATAAATACAAATAATTGTATGAACACTACAGAATAATCACTCCATGATGTTTAATCTCATTCTTTTTTTCTCAATCTAGGCATCATGAGAAGAACATACAAGTTGTCATGAAGAAGGACGAACTTCCCCGAAGTAACCGTTTCGTTTCGATATTTCTTTTTCATACAAATATCAGTTCTGCTTCCGCTTATTCATTCACCTTCCAAAAGGATATCTCTAATTCCCAGCAACTTTGGAATAACTTATAACCGGCCCGATTTGATACATAGGCTATGTGCCGGTTATAAGTTACTCCGAAGTTGCTGGGAATTAGAGATATCCTTTTGGAAGGTGAATGAATAAGTGGAAGCAGAACTGATATTTGTATGAAAAAGAAATATCGAAACGAAACGGTTATTCCGGGGAAGTTCGTCCTTCTTCATGACAACTTGTATGTATTCTGTAGTGTTCATACAATTATTTGTATTTATATTGGTTGCACTGCTGCAGTATTTCTGTATGTAAAACAAAGCATTGGGGCAGAGGAACCACTGAGAAAAGACCACTGAGAAAAGACAGAATTGGTTGGCGCCAACCAGTTAATTGAGGGGACACAGCTTTTGTGATCACCCCTCTCAGAGGCTATGGGAACATATTAAGATGCTTTTCAGCAAGTCAGAGCATTAAACCATCTAGTTGTCCACAATGCTGCCCGGAGACTCTCAGGCATCTCTGACAGAGTATGATCTTTGCCAACCGCCTCTACCAAACATCCTTGAGCTGGAGGTGCCAAGGATTAAGCCTGGGCCCTTCTGGATGCCAAGCATATGCTCTACCACTGAGCAGGGGCCCCTTCCCTTTAAAACTGAACATATACTGACACTAAACTTCCCATTTGCCCCTGGTCAGTAGGGTTGCCAAATCTGGGTTGGGAAATACCTTTTGGGGGGTAGAGCCTGGGGAGGGTCTGAGGAGGGGAGGACCTCAGCAGGGTATAACGCCAGAGAGTCTACTCTCTGAAGCTGCCATTTTCTCCAGGGGAACTGAACTCCATTGTCTGTAGATCAATTGAAATCGTGGGAGAAGTCCAGGTGTCACCTGGAGGTTGGCAGCCGTGCTTGTCCGTGGGCAGCAATCTCCCTCCAGCATAGAGTTGCCGACTCCAAGTTGGGAAGTCACTAGAGACTTGGGGGGGGGTGCCTGGGGAGGGCCGGGGAGGGCAGGGTTTTTTTTTGGGGGGGAGGACCTCAGCAGATTATAACATCATAGAGAGTC